CTGTTTTCTTACTTTCTGGGGTGTGTTCCCCTCCCCCCCCCAACTGATACCAAGGGAGAGAATGCAACAGTTTATATGGAATTGCTTTGGACTGGTCTACAAAGAAAAATACTATGTTTCATAATAATATTAGGAATGATAAAGCATTTTTCCTGCCAAAACATCTCTGTAAGTGCCCCAGCGTCATCAACTGATGGCAGCACAGCTCTGGGAATAAACAGACTTTCAGCTAATGGCAGGAATCATCAGGGGAAACAGGAAACAGGTATTTCTTCCCAGTGCAGAATGAAACATATGATTAAAGTTAAATGCCAAATCCTACTGGCACTGGAGCGAATTAAAGTTTGTTTTTCATTCCTGTTTATTCTTTCGTCTCTTTTTAGCTGATTCATCTTGTTTCATTTAATACCAATGGGTTTTCCTTTCTATTTGGCCACTCTGGTGGAAGGAGGAGGGCCACAACTCATTTTAGGCATGTGGCCTTTGGTAATCAGATTAAAGCTTCAGGCAAAGCCCAGCTCCTCAAATGGGAACAATGCGGGCGCTCCGTGCCTGCATTCAACCCTCCAAAGGTAGGGGTCAGCGTGCTGTGACCCCAACCACCCCGCCTCTCCAGCGGGACAGCTAGCTGCTGGCACAGGCTGGGAGGTGCCGCGGGTGCAGGCACGCGCTGCTGCGCCCCTCAGCTGCTCAGTGTGTAGGGGTCACCTAAGGCTGCCTACCTCCAAAGCGCTCTCCGTCCCCTTCACGATTGCGGCGCTCCTTAGGACGGAATTGTGATGCAAACTTTATTACTGGGAAACCCTGTCTTCACCCAACTATTCAAAATGACCAAGGTTCTGTCCATCGCCTTATTTCAGACTTTGTGAAAAGTAAGCTGGCTCTCACTGTTGGCTGATTGATGCAGTGATTAATTAGACCTGGGCCAATTCCATGTAGTTCAGTATGAACTCGCCCCTTCTCCGGCTGTTTCATCGACACCATCTCTCTGACCGGCCAAAACTTATTCCAGAACATTGGGACTTCCTCTGCTACCAGGAGCAGCAGGTGTCTGTCTGGCCTAACCCATCTGAGATGGTGGCTGTTTAAGATGACGACTTTAAACAGAGAGGCTGTCCCAGCTGCCTTGGCACAGGGCGCAGGGTAAGGTCTGCGGTTCGGCGGGCAGGCACACCAGCCCCAGCACACGGGCTAGGACAGCCCTCAGAGATGCAAGAGCGCGTGAAGGCAAGCAGTTACATCTTAGGGGCAGCAAAAAACTACTCCTTTTCCCACAGCTAAGCCCTCCTGTAGACAGCCAAAGCCAAGAACTGACACACAGTGAAAGGGATCTACTCCTCAGTGAGTAGACATTTCAGTATCCTTTTGCATACATTTTCAAGCATGCCAAGTCAAATGTCTTTTTTGAAGGTTTATATATTATAAAGCATGTATTTTGTTAAGCGCCAGTTATTGTAAGAGCATTTTAATATATGGTGCTGTATTTACTTCCATGATTTTGGATTATGTCAACAGAATCACATAATGAAGACATAGTAAACTCTTACTGTGTCTCTATCTGGAACTCAGAATAATGGGAGTTCTTTATTTAAAAAAAGATGAGCTCCAAAAAGAATCTTTTCCCCTGCCTTAGATTACCACGCTCCCACGTTCACGCGGGATGCTCGCGTTAGCTGGCCAACAGCAGCCGAAGTGGATGACAGACTAACGGACAGGGAGCGAGCTGCCGCAGCTGTGCTGTGCTGACACAGACCTGGCTCATTTCAACTGATTTCTTTGACGTACAGATGTAGAACTGTAGTAATTCACAATTCATCTGTAAGTCCATCATATTAAAAATACTTTTTTCTCCCCTTCCATCCCAGCTTCAAATCATCAGATACGCCCCTATTTGCAGACAGACCTGAAGTCAAAATGTTTATTAACAGTGATTTTACAAGTGCCTAAACATCTGTAGTGCATATAACAAATCATGACAGCACACGTGAAAAAAAAACCTCTCTGGAAGTTCCTCCCTCCTCACCCCAGCAAGCAGCAGCAGTGCAGGCAGGATGCCGTGGTACAGCAGCGGGGGAAAGTGGGAAAGGTGCATCCGTACTCCTGCCAGAGGCACCACTGCTGCAGGCCAGGCCGGCGAGGGGCGAATTACCACACGGGCAGTTCAGCCCCGAGTCCATGCACCCACCTGGGAGCAGCCGTGGAGATCAGCTGAGGCCATGAAGGAAATTCATAGCAATTCAGGTGAGCCCACGTTTTGCCATGTCACCAAAAATACCCTGTAAATAAATTTATTAATGGGCCTCTTGCAGACAGCGACACCTTAACCCAGCATTCTGCTTTTAACACACAGCTGTGCATCTCGAGAGGAGCGCATGCTCGTGGTGTATTACTATAGATCCAGATTTTAAATTGAGATTGGTCACTATTGATTCTCTACGAGTTTCTGATGATAGCGGGCTGCATTGCACAAGACTCGTGAAATTGCTGAAATCCATCGTCCATTAACTTGCCTGCATTAAGCCAAGATCACCTTGTCCCGCCAACACCAACCTCGCTGGCGTGATGCCACCTCAAAGGCAATTTACACCCAAGGAGCCGCTTTGTAGGGAACCGGAGCTGTCACAGAGGGTGATGAGGGGGGGCTGCACCCCAGCCTTGGCAATGCGCCCCCCAGCCTGAGAACACCCATCCCCAGCTGAGCTCCCTGCAGCCCACACACTACATCAAACGGGGTTTTCAGTGTCCCTCTGCTCCGCCTCTTCCAGGAGGCACGGAGGGCACGGACACAGTTCCGCTCCCCTCGGGCACTGCCAGTTGGGAGAAAAGTGCAAAAGCCAAACCGTGAAGGCAGTGCAGCCAGCATGGGCCATTCAGCTCACTGCCTCAAACGAGGAAGAGGAGTGCAGTGAAGGCTCCATTTCCTACTGCTCTGCTCCGCCCCGGGCTGAGGGATACGGTTCCCCCAAAACTATCCAGCGGAGGTTGTTTAAAACAAGGAGGGTGGTAACTGAAGCTGGGTGTGAAATTATGCCCAGGAGAAGAAAGAGCTCAGCACTGGCTGTGTTTGCTGTGCTGTACCATGGGGCAGGAGCGAGAGCGTGGGGCTACGCCGCCTTCCGAAAGCGGCACATGCTGGATGTGGAACCACAGAGGAAAGGGAAGGTTACTTTCCTGCTCTTTATAGCTTGCTTTTACATATGAAAGTTAATTAATTCTTCCCTTTGTCTTGTCTTCTCTGAGTACACAATCCCATCCCCTTTGCCTTTGAATGACATGAGCAACAGAGACCTAGAACAAATGACAGAAAAGCAATTTCCTCATTTTCTTGCCTCTCGTACTCAGCTGTGGTGCCTGGAACTAGAGCCCACACCGAGGCCCTTTGGAGTCTGGGGCTGGTGCAGCTCACAGCCAGACCCCCACGCAGAAGGGTGTCACTTGGAGTATTACTGAGGCGAGGATAGGAAGTAAAATGAAATAAAACCCAGTTGAAACCTGCACTTTAATAGGATCTACTCGGTTGCAACTGGCCAACCCATTGCTCGCCCTGGCTTTCACACGTCTTGCCGACAGAAGCTCCTAGTTACACGCATGCTTGTCCGGTTGAGCTGGCACAGGAGAAGCTCCGTGGCTCCATCTCTCAGTATTAATCAGGAGCTGCCTGCTGAGGACCCAACAGCAGATTCAGCCTCCCAAGTTTATCAGTTTTCTAAATCTCATTTGCCAGCGCTCTGACGTTCAACACTATGGTGGGAAGGGCAAATTAGATATCATTGATGTGCTCATCAACCCACGATCGACGCAGCCTTAAGAAATATCGATCAGCTGTTGAGGAAAAAGATTGCTAAAATTGCCTTTAGGGCAACTAAAGGCAGCGGCAAAAATGCTACCAGTTCAGAGACTGGGACATCCAGTGGCTTCAGGGCCTTCTGAAATGCAGGACACTGGGTAACTCCTCAGAGCCCTTCAGAATCTGCCATTCACAGGAGCGATACTGGAGTTCAGTCAGAAATGCTGCAGTATCCCAAGCACTGCTTCCAGCCCTTTCTACAAGGACCCTCATTCCAGAGACTCCCAATGGAACGGGATACATAATCATAGGGGATAGTTTCCCTTAGACCTAAATCCATGGCTTAGTTCAGGATACGGGCGTGCGGACGTAAGCGTGCGCCTGCAGACGTGAGGTTGTAAGTAAACAGGCGCCAGTGCCTTTGACCCAGGAATGCAAGAGAAGAGCCAACAGGTCAGGACTTAATTCCGCTCGGCTCAACACCCCTTTCGGCCCCGTTCGGAGAAAGGAATGTTTCTGATCCAAAGTTCAGAACTTGGAACGTACAATAATTAGGAAAATGCTTAATACCAACCCACCCTCTTTATTAAGGAGTTTCTTCAAGTAGTTTTAATAGTGCAAAATATTGTTTTGCATTAGTACAATAACTATCGGAATTCACAGTCAAAGAAAAAATCTTAAAAGATTTCCAAAGTCAAACAAAAAATTTTTTAATACTGTATTTTTAGCAAGAACATTTGTAACAAAGAATGTGTACTTTAACTTAATATGGTACAACAGAGAAACCATACTTAAAAGTTTCCATTATCTAACACTCTACTGCATATTCATTTTTTATCTTAAAAGACCAAAAGCCAAGCTGAACTGAGCATAAAAAAAAGCGTCAATTATAATCCTCGTATTACGTCAGCTGTCAGGGTTGAGCTCACACTTTTGAATCGGTCATCTAATGAAAGGACAATTTTTACATCATTCTTTTAAAAAATGTACACGCATTTCTTTTTAAAACGTAATATATATCGAGTATCTGCTTCAGTAAACAAAGCTTAATTTATAAACACAATCGAAACAGCTCCATGTTGAACAGTTTCAGTGATGAACTGGACTTGTATGACGTACAGCCAGTGAGGACCGTTGTGGCTTAAAATCATTGTGCCATCGCTATACAGTAATAGCTACCTCCTTAGAAAAAAAAAGTTCTTGGAATGGGGCAGGGGGGGAAGGGGGAAAAAATCCTGTGTGTGCTTAAAAATACTAAAACTCCTTTCTATCTCCGGGGACCTAAAAATGATCTGTTGCGACAGGCTTGGTTTGGTATGGTAAGCTTGTAAAAAGTCTCAATATTTCTTAATGACAATACGGCAGTTTTCGATGCAGCAACAGTAAATTGCTTGAAATTGTCCTTCAAGTTTCATGCTACAAATCCTGTTCTTCACACAGTACTGAAGGCATCAAAGGTTGGAAGGGATGTTTTTCATGAACTATATAGTCTTCAAATAGTGATCATTACATGTTTTTCAACAACAGGTGTTTCCTTCAGTACATAATGGTGGGTTTGATATATGTTCTGTTTTCTGGAGGAAAGAAAAAAAAAAGAGAGGAGAAAAAAGGTTAATTACACAGTTGGACATTTTAGAATTCGTTGAAAATTAGGTGGGTTTCCTTATCTGTTTGTGGACTTCTTTTTTCTCAAGCCAAATTATCAGATCGACAAGTGACATGAACGATCCATCACGTGAGTAGCTTTCCCCGGGGAAAAGAGGCATCAGTGACACAGGCTGGCAAAGCTCTCGCGCCATGGGTGTTAGGGAGGGAAACGAGCTGGGCTCAGGGCACTGACCACCTCCTACCCCAGCGGTACAGGTGTGGGCACTCAGCTGGGCTAAAATCCACCAGCCTTGCTTCTGACGGTGCTTGCCAGCCAGCATCTGCTGAATAGTGGCTGTAAATACTTTCATTTGGATTTTCTTCCTTTAAAAAGCATTGGCTTTTTAATTGAACAGTCACCTTCCTTCTTTCTGTCCGGAAGGCAGCCTGTGCTGTTTGCATGCCTCCCTGCGACAGACCCAGTAACACGCCAGCGGCGTTACAACGCACCCTTATTCCATGCACAAGAGTTTCTAGGGAACGGCGTGCTGAACCCAAATTGCACTGCATTAGAAAATGGAATACGAGTAAATCAGTATCTGTTCCTTGGAAAAGTGTTCCTTCATTCAGAAAGCACCACGTTTCTTTTAAAACTGTTTCGTTATTTAGGGAAACAAGTAGAAAGCCACTTATTTCCTTCCTCAAAATATTCCTAGTTATAGTACCTATCAACTGTGATTTTTCACATTAAGCCCAGAGTAAAAATAAACATTAAAATGCCCAGAGAAATGAAAGCTAACAAGAATCCATATACTTGTTCATTATACAATGCATCACGAATTCACCCAGCTAAACCCGCAAGTACTGATCTTGAAGATGATAGCGAAATGATAATATTGAGAAGCATTTTGTATAATGTTGACATCTATCCCGTTACTGCTTTACATATGCCAATACCGAACACTCGTAAGGAAAGAACAAGTATCGACCTGCTAACTGACACTGATCCTTGGAGCAATCTCAAAGTTTGCCACATTTCAATTTCAAAATGCATTTCAGCTATAATATGAGTGATTTATCATTTAGCAGTAGCTGTCAAAGTAACCTCCTAGATAAAACAAAAACATCTGGAGCCATAAACAGAGGAGAGCAGTAGCTGAATTTTAATCCAAATCCGACATGTTCACTTCATTAGGAACAGGAAACAGCTAATTAGTAATTGAATGTTTCATGGTTTTAAGGAGGCTCAAACTCTCCAAACAGAGATGATTTAATATGTATTTTGGACGTAAACAAGAATAAAGATCGGAAAAAACGGGGACATAACATCTCCAGAGGAATGTTTGGGAGCATGGGAACCTCGAAAGAAGTGACTAAAATTAGTCTCAGGCCTTTGGCTGATTAAAATCATTGTCTGAAACTTAGTGGGGCAAATATTAAAGCCTGGAGAGGGGGTAAGTGGAAATGCAAACACTGAACTACTGTGGGTTTGGGGTTCTCTTCTCTTTCTCTTCTTCTTCTCTTCTCCTCATTAAAGTGATCTTTATAGGCATCCCAAAGGGCTGAAATTGTGCCATACTGTGCTTAGCGTGAGCCAGTAACACGCCGGTTGTGTGCACTGCACAGAGGCAGCCAAAGCCCTGCAGGTCCTGGGCACCGCACGCCCACCCCTTGGCGGGCCTAGGCCAGTGGGATCAGTAAGGATCACTAACATATATTTTTAAAATTCTTGGTATTTTTGAATATTATTTTCAGACTAAGGTAAGAGGGGTCACTGCGGGTACTGCAGGCTGATGGACTGACTATTTGGACTTTGAAACAGGTTTCAATTTTTCCTTCCTATTCCCTTTATTTCTCAAGGGATGTTCAACGGAGGCATCTGGAATACCCGTGAATGCCAAAGCTCAAGCACAGTGCAGCCACCCACGAGACAGTATTGATCAGTAGACAAAAAGTGCAGAGTTAAATATTTCTTTTTTTATAAAGCGCTCAATTATTCTCCAGAAATTAAAATACTTTCTTGTTGCTGTGCAATAAACTTAACTCCATGGCATTAACGACGTCATAGAGCAGCCACCTATGAGGAATTAAAGTGTTAGGAGCATCTGTGCTACCACTTATACATGAAAGACAAGGCAATGTTGTCGAATTTATCTCTTTGAAGAATAGTCACCATCCCCTCGGTGTAGCTGACTGCAAGCTACAGACCATTTTACAGCATTTTACTGTATTATATAGCAAAGATTTGAATAAATCTGTGTGCAGTAAATGTATTCTTTTATTAGGTTTATCCCTTAATCAAATATTCATTTATGTGGGCTTCATTCTATTAAAAAATGAAATTATACAAAGGTGAGCAAAAGCGTAGATTTACAGTAGTTTAAAGCCTAATCTCATTCTCTAGGGGTAATATTGACAATATAAAAACTGTATAAATGATATTCCCTAACACTAAAATATGCTTATGAGCCCCCTGTGCATGTTATACTGCTTTACAACCTACAGTGAAATGCATGACTGGCTTAATAAGCAAGACATTTAGAAAGGATTTTTTTTCCTCTTTGCAATGTATAACACAAGTAAAGATCTCCATTTCTCACTGAGCCAGAGCCTGTGTTAGTAATTGTAATTTTCCCTCAGGATGCTGTTGTCTTCCCTGAGTAGTTAGTCCAGGGTACACATCCATCTCTTGCACTCTCTTTTAGCAACAATATCATCACTTGTCCTTTTCTTTCAAGGTTTTAATGTCTGCATAAGGGACAAATCCAAATGCAGTAATTATCATCTGCATATTTATTCACATTTTTCTTCTTCCCCCCCCCCCCCCCTCTTTTTCAGCCTAATCAGCACCTCTGAATTTTCTGATTCTTTTGTGAGACTTTGTTTGCAGTATCTTGAAGTCAGTAATTCAGCTGCATTCCCGTAACAGTACTTCAAAGCAAAATTTCCACGTGTACGCTCACAACTTGCACAGAGAGATGCACCCAGTAACGCTGGTGTGCAACCCCGGTCCCGGAAGGGGAGAACGTGGCACAGACAGCTCTACAGTTTGGGAGTGTTCAGGTGACTTGAGCACACTGTATATCGGAAAGCAAATTTGGGATCTGCTGCATAATGAGAAAACACAGATGAAGTTGTTCTATCAGTAACTATTCATGCAATTTAAAAAATAACCCCCAGCACTACACATTGCAGCGACTATGGGTAGCAGAGATGAAATAATAAAATGAAAATCCCACTTTGCCAGTGTAGATGAAGGAGGAGCTGGGAGAGCTGCTACAGTAAAAGTGAGGTAGAGCCGACCCACGGCTGTTTCTGCCGACAGAGGAGCGGCAGGAGGGCCGAGGGCAGCCGCGTGCCAGACCTGCGTGCTCGGGCAGGCTTCGCACGGCTCCTGCTTGAGGTGCTGAGTCCAAGAGTCGTACGCAGCCCCGCAGGTATCCTGGAGAGGAGCTGGCCGCTCCACCCTGCCTGCCTTACGTAAAGTCGCTGTTCCACCTAGATCAGAGCCAGGCTGAGCTGCGGATGCAGCGGCATGTGGAAAATACAACGCCAGGCATTAGCTTCTGGTGTGGATGACATCCCCCAACAAACCCTCTTGCCCTACCCCTGTAAGAAACGGGAGCGCTGACTGGCCTGGAAGGAGGCTGCACCCAGGCCCCTGCCAGGGGGTAAGGCCTTCCGCCATTCCCAAGCCCATGGGAAGGGATCTCTTCACCACCGAGAAGGCCCAAGGGCAACAGTAAAACTGCCTTCTCTGCCTGCTTATTACTTGTCCAGCAACACCTTTCCATTTATCTGCAAATATTTTCCAAACCGAGCAGTGGAAGAAAAATCCCGCTATGAGCAGGGCATGGCTTCCTCTAGACTCAGGGACAAAAAATGCCGCTTCTGAGAGCGGCAGGACTAACGAAGTTTGGTTTGCGTTCTTCTAATCTCTTGCCCTTTCATTTCACCTCCTTCCCACCCCTGCAGCTGTGCAGTCCCTGCCGGCTAACGCTCCCTGTCCCTCGGGGAGTGCTGCGAGCTCCCTCCCTGCAGCCCCCGTTCCGGCAGCAGGCAGGACCGGGGTACCTGACCCCTCAGCGCTGCACTCGGGGCCTCTCCCCCACTCGGCCTGTGCTTAGGGCTGCTGAGTCAACTGCCAAGTATTTCCCCGTCCATGTTAACAGACCTAAAAACTCATAGAGAAAATCGGATTTCTCATGAGCAACAAGAGCCAAGGACAAGACTGCATTCCCTGAATACAGAGGATGCGGATGCTGGATTGCCACCGTCACTTTGAGTGGGCAGGAGAGAACAGTGGTTCCTGCCGAGGGAAGATCCAAGCCCACTGACACTGAGTTATCGAATAAATGTTTCAGCCCTTCGTAAGAACAGAAGGGTATGGACCTTCACCTCACCTGGGGAAACTTTTCTTCCCAGTAAATCACAAAATCTCAGCTTCCTCCCTCGTGTGGGTGTGTGTGCAGGGAGAGAGAAAACAGTCCCCAAAACACTGGGTACCAGAAGCAGAAGCAACACGGAGACCTGCGGTACCGGTGCTTAGGGCCCTCCTGGCGAGCAGCTGAGGAGGAGGCTTCCCGCAGCGCGGGGCAGCGTGTGCGGAGGTGACAGCCCGGGAATTGCACAGGGGCTGCGCAAGAGTATTTCTAGAAACGCTGCAGTACGACACGGCACAAAGTAACCCCCGGAGGTTTAAGAACTTGGAGCATCCAGAGCAGGACACGCACCAGGGACAGAGCACAGCTTGGAGAGGAGGAAGAAGGCAAGGCCGAAGAAGATGATGGCGACGAACTCGCACGCAAGCAGGGTACCAGGCCTCAGTTCAGTTCAATCTCAAGAGTTTCTAGTCACAGAGTCCTGACCTTTTCTTACATAAAATTCTGAGCGCTTGAACTTCTTTGTCAGGGAAAGAAGAGCAAGACAATAGCCCTGTAATTGCCAAGAGGTTGAATTTGTGTCTTGCAGTTGCAGACTGCTCTGA